CCAGTTCGCCATCGTCCGGAAGTGCCGGGAGAGGAAGACGGGCCTGGAATACGCGGCCAAGTTCATCAAGAAGCGCCGGCTCTCGTCCAGCCGCCGGGGCGTGAGCCGGGAGGAGATCGAGAGGGAGGTGGACATCCTGCGGGAGATCCAGCACCCCAACATCATCACCCTGCACGACATCTTCGAGAACAAGACCGACGTGGTGCTCATCCTCGAGCTGGTGTCGGGCGGGGAGCTCTTCGACTTCCTGGCCGAGAAGGAGTCCCTGACGGAGGAGGAGGCCACCCAGTTCCTCAAGCAGATCCTGGACGGGGTGCACTACCTGCACTCCAAGCACATCGCCCACTTCGACCTCAAGGTGAGGGCTGGGAGGGGCAGGTGCCCTGGGGAGCAGGAATGAGCCTGCAGGTGAAGTCTGGGAGTTGCAGATTCCCCAGAGAGCAGGGATGAGCTCCCAGGTGAGATCTGGGAGTCGGTGCTCTGGGATCTCTCCCAGTTTGAGGCACATGTCCTCACTTCTTGGAAGGAGGAGCCCAGGGCAGCCCCCAGGGTTGGGTGTGTGGGGACAGACCCAGCTCCTCTCCCCCCCAGCCAGAGAACATCATGCTGCTGGACAAGAACGTGCCAAACCCTCGCATCAAACTCATCGACTTCGGCATCGCCCACAAGATCGAGGCTGGGAATGAATTCAAGAATATCTTCGGGACCCCGGAGTTTGTAGGTGAGACCCGGCTGGCAGCATTCCTGGGGGGCTCCTCAGGGTGCTGCGAGCTTTGGATTGATCCCAGAGGGATGCCCAGTGCCACTGCTGGGGTGCCTCCATGGGGACAGGCTTCCTTCCCCCACAATAAGCCTGTTTTCTCCTCTTTTTCCTCCTAAAGCCCCGGAAATTGTGAATTATGAGCCCCTGGGGCTGGAGGCCGACATGTGGTGAGTGACCCCCCTCCTGAGCCCATTCCCCTGGCTCCAGCACACTCCCTTGTGCCAGTGGATCTCCCCCTGTGCCAAAAGTGTGGGGAGAGGGGCCTGACAATGCTCTGAGGGGCTTCAGCCTCCTCTTCCTCGCTCTTTTCCAGGAGCATCGGGGTCATCACGTACATCCTGTGAGTATAAGGGAGGTCTGGGGGGGTTGGGGCTGTGGGGTGAGCCCCCCACCTCGGGCTGGAGCCTTTGTGGGGTGTCCCAACCCTCTGTCTCCACAGGCTGAGCGGAGCCTCCCCCTTCCTGGGGGAGACAAAGCAGGAGACCCTGACCAACATCTCCGCTGTCAACTATGACTTCGATGAGGAGTATTTCAGCAACACCAGCGAGCTGGCCAAGGACTTCATCCGCCGCCTGCTCGTCAAGGACCCCAAGTGAGGGGTGGGGAGCGGAGCTGGGGGTTCCTCTGGGAGAGGGGACGGTCCCTCCTGCCCACCCCGCTGCAAACAGGCAGCTCCCACACTCCTGGGTTCAGCTCTGAATCCAAAATCTCTCCCCTGCGTGAGGCGTGGGGTGAATTCCAGGATCCCCCCCCAGGGTGCAGCAGCTCTGGGAGGGGTGAAAGGCTGAGTTGAGCCCCCAGGGCTCTGGGGTGGTGGGAGCAGTGGAGCCATGTGGTTGAATGTTGGTCTGAAGGTTCTTCTGCCTGTGTTTGAGGGGTTGGGGGCTGGATGTGACCCCTGCCTGGGAGGCCCTGAGTGCAGTGAGTTTGTCTGAGCTCAGCCAGACCCTAAAGGTGATCACAGGATCCGAGCTGCACTTCCAGGGCTTTACCAGGGAAAGGCAGCAAAGCCTCTGCCCCTGACCACAGCCTTGCTGTGCTTGCAGGAAGCGAATGACCATCGCCCAGAGCCTGGAGCACTCTTGGATTAAGGTGAGAAGTTAAAGAATTGGCACTTTTGGGGTGTCACACCCCCTCAAGGAGGGGTGGGTGCCGACAGCAGCTCTGTGCTCCCCAACCTCCCGTGGGGGCCACTTTGGTGCCGCTGCCAGGGGTCCGTGGGTGGGTGCTGGGGCCACCCAGCTCTTCCTGGGTGTCCCACACTACAGCTGTCCCTCCCACAGGTGATCAAGAGGAGGAACGTCCGGAACGAGGACAGCTGCAAGAAGCCTGAGCGGCGCCGGCTGAAGACCACGCGCCTCAAGGAGTACACCATCAAGTCCCACTCCAGCATGCCCCCCAACAACACCTACATCAACTTCGAGCGCTTCTCCAAGGTCATGGAGGAGGTGGCGGCGGCCGAGGAGACCCTGCGGGAGCTGGAGAGGAACAAGAAGTCCTTCCAGGAGGACATCGAGGCGCTGCGCTCCATCTACGAGGAGAAGGAGTCGTGGTACAAGGAGGAGAACGAGAGCATCGGCCAGGACCTGCGGCAGATCCGGCAGGAGCTGCAGAAGACGGAGGCGCTGAAGAAGCAGGCGCAGGAGGAGACCAAGAGCGTGGTGCAGGCGGCCAACGGCCTCAAGCGGCGCTACCGCAAGCTGGAGAACCGCTACGAGGCCCTGGCCAAGCAGGTGGCCTCGGAGATGAAGTTTGTGGAGGAGCTGGTGTGGTCCATCGAGCAGGAGAAGCAGAGCGGCGAGGGCGATGGCAGCATCCGCTAAACCGGGCGGCTCCGGCCCTTCCTGACCCCCTCCGGTCAGTGTTCCCCGGCTCTGGTGGTGTAGGGGGGGGTGGGTTGTGCCTCCCTGGAGCCCCCACCTCAGGGGGCTTGGGGCTGTGCTCTCCTGGGGTTTGGCTTCCTGCCTGTGGCTCCTGCTTGGCTCGTGGCCCCGTGCTCCTCGTCACTCCCACCACGCTTAGGGACACTTCTCGTCACTCCCACCACGCTTGGGGACACTTCTTGTCATTCTCACCACGCTTGGGGACACTTCTTGTCATTCTCACCATGCTTGGGGACACTTCTCATCACTCCCACCATGCCTGGAGACACTTCTACCCCATCACTCCCTCCATGCCTGGGGACACTTCTCATCGCTGCCACTGTGCTTAGGGACACTTCTTGTCACTCCCACCGTGCTTGGGGACACTTCTCATCACTCACACCACACTTAGGGACACTTCTCATCACTCCCTCCACGCCTGGGGACACTGCTTGTCCCGCCCGGGTCCCCGAGCTGCCCCAGCGCCCTGGGGGGGTGGGTTTGGTGGGCAGACCCCCCTCTGCGCTCCAGCAGAAGCCCCACATGGGCCGGGACCAAGGGCTGATCCCTGCGTGGCCCCCCTGGGTGAGCCCTGTGCCCCCCGGGGTGCTGCCCCACATGCCCCCCAGCCCAGCCCTCACTCTGTGACCAGAATAAAGGTGTCTGTGTAACGGGGTGGCTGCCTTGGCTCCTGCCATGGGAGAGGGGCAGGGCCGTGCTGTGGGGTGACAACCCCTCAGCTGCGCTCCCATCCCAGAGGGATTTCCTAAATTGGGAAGGGAAAAGGTGGGTTTTTTTGCCTTATCAGCCCCAGCAGGGCCAGGTGAGCTCACTATGGGCGTGGAGGGGGCTCTAGGGGTGAGTCTCCTCTTGCCTGGGACCCCAGTGCAGGTCTGGGGGGGTCAGGGAAGGTTGAGGGATGTTTTATGGAGTTGGAGAAGGTCTGTGGGATCGGGGGCTCGGGGAAGGCCCCTGGGTGTGGGGAGGGTCCTGTGGTTTCTGTGGTGTAGGAGCCCGGGAGGGGCTTTTCTCTGGGAGGGGCTTTCCTTTGGGATCACCAGGAGCTTTCCAGCTGCCCGTGGCCCCGGAGCCAAGATCCTGCTGAATTTGATCGGGGGGAATCACCAGCCAGATCCCAGTGGATGGCTGGCAGGAGTCTGGATGGCTGACAGGAGTCCCCCTGGCTGGCCCCGCTGGGCTGGGGGGGCTGTGGTGGCTTCAGCTCTGGGCCCGGGGGGTTTGCTCTGTTTAGGATTTATCTGTCGCTCCCTGGGGGTCTGGAGGGGCCGTGTCCCGTGTCCCTGTCCCTGCTGACGTCCCCACAGGTGTAGGTTTCATCCCAACCCATGGGCCACATGGAGCCGCTGGGAATTTAATCCGCCCTGTTTTTCCGTGCCAAGGCACTTTGGCTCGCAGTGTCCCAGGGCTGTCCCAGGGCTGTGTCACATCCCCAGTCACACATTCCCTGTGCCAGAGCAGCGATCTGACCGTGGTGGGCGGCACCAGAGCCTGGCTGGGGTGGGAGTTTGGAATCCCGCCCCCCCCCTTTGGATGCTGCATCCCAGAACTCTGGGGAAAACTTCAGGGTGCGGATTCAGCCGGAGCCGTGGCCATTCGATCCGCTGGCAGGGATCTCACCGTCACCAGCGGGAGAGGATGTATGGAAATCCTGCAGCACCGGCTGTTCCCGACCCTCCAAAAGTTCACATAGTGCAAAAGCTTCCCGGATTCTCCTCGTGCCGAGGGGTTTAATTTCACGCTCCCAAAAAACTCTTGGAAGTCACCGGTCGCTCACCCTGACCAGGAGGTGCCCTGCCCTGCCCTGCCCTGCCCTGCCCTGCCCTGCCCTGGGGGTCTCAGCCAGGTGGATGCACAAAAAAACCCCAAAGTAAGTTTTAAAAGCAGGATTTGGGGTGTTCTGCTGCTGCCACAGCTGCAGAGAGGGGGGAAAAGAGGGATTTGCTGGGGGGAAAGTGTCCAGGAGGTGAAATACTGCTGGGACTGGGAAGCTGGGAGTTGCAGTGGGATGGGAGGAGGCTGAGGGAGCTGGGGGGGCTCAGCCTGGAGAAAAGGGGGATCAGGGGGGACCCTCTGGCTCTGCAACTCCCTGACAGGAGGGGGGAGCCGGGGGGGGGTCGGGCTCTGCTCCCAGGGAACAGGGACAGGAGGAGGGGGAACGGCCTCCAGCTGTGCCAGGGGAGGTTTAGGTTGGATATGAGGGAAAATTTCTCCCTGGAAAGGGTGATCAGGCCCTGGAAAAGGATGCCCAGGGAGGTGGTGGAGTTGCCATCCCTGGAGGGATTTAAAAGCCGTGTGGGGTGTGGCCCCTGGGGACATGGATTAGTGGTGGCCTTGGCAGCGCTGGGGGAACTCTCAGATTGGATGGTTTTAAGGGGCTTCTCAAGCTCAACAATTCCATGATTTCATGACTCTGCAAATACTAAACCCCTCAGGAAGTGGTGTCGTGCTCGGAACTGATGGGATGTGCTGCTGCTGTGACCTTCCCGTGCTGTGACATCCCAGGATGTTCCGCCCCCATTCCCTTCTTTGCAGCCAGAGCTGACACCACCCTGGGGTGTTTCACTCTCTGTGGACAGACAATACCAAAATGCCTTTTTTAGGCTTTAATTCCCGCTTCCCAGAGCCCGCCTGGGAGGCGGGAGTGAGGCTTTTTTCCCTTATAAGTCTTCCCAAAATCCCAAAACAGTCCTGCAGGGCTCCAACCGACCTGTGAACATGCAGGAAACCCCCCAAGGAAACCACAAGCTGCATCCCACTGGGATCTCTTTTCCTGCCAGGGAGCTGAGCTGCAGCTAATCCGTGGGAAACGCTCCATGGATGCAGGAACGTGGGTGACAGGGCGCAGCAGGGTGTCCCTTGGCCGGGGTGTTCCTCAGCCCTGGAATGGTGTAATCAGAGTGCTGTGGGGCTCCCCAGGCACGCTCAGGGCTGGGAATAGCCTGGGGAATCCGGGGGGATTCCAGAGGGATCCACATCTCCTTCGGAGCACGGAGTCCCCGCTCCAGATATAAAATAATCGGGAGTAAGACAAGGACGAGGCGGTGGGTGTGGCTCCCCTGCGGCTGCTTAAAACACCCCCTGGAGCAGGGTGGGTTTTGGGGTGATTCCTCCCTACTCTGGGGCAGCTGCTTTTCCAGAGCACTGCTCCTAATTCAGGCCCCAAAATCTCAGGAAGGGACCTGCCAGCCAAGTTATTCCAGTGCCTGTGGAGCTCATCCCAAGGGCAGGCTTTGTATTGGCAGGGCACTGCACGTGCCCAGGGACACCATTCCCATGGTTTTAGCCACTGCATTCCCAGGGAAGTGGCAGATTTTGGGGTGCTCCATCTCACCCCAGTGTTCATGAACCTGCTCAGCTAATTGCAGTGGTGTGGGCTGGGAGAGTGAGCCAAGGACAGCCAGGGCTGGCCCTGGAGTTGTCCCCTAAGGCTCGGGAATGCTCCTGCCTGGAATGGGCCCAGCCAGGCCCTGGCCACGAGTGTCCATGGTTTGAACACATCCCCTGCCCTCCCATGGGACCCCAGGCTGGAAGTCACATCCCCGGGGATTTGAGGACCAGTTAAATCAGGACCTCAGAAGGAGATTCAAGTGGATTTTTACTGAATTTGAGAGGTGATGTTACAAACAAGCCGTTGCCTGAAGCCTTTCTGTCTGCACAAGCACAGAAACAGGAGATCTGTTGTTTTCCCAGCGCAGCTCTACTCGTTCTGCTATAAAAATGCTTTTCCAGCTTCTCTTTGGAATATAAAATAATTAATAAAAAAAAAAAAAAAAAACAACCAACCCCAAAACAAAACCCCACCAAGGCCATCCTGTCCATGGGGTTGGGAATAAGTTATCCTCAGTTTTCAACTATATACAGAAGGGACTTGCCAAAGGGCAGTGGGAGAAGAGTTGACACAAATAAACCCTCCTTCCCACTTCCAAGTATTATTTACATCGGGCTGTACAAGGGTCTTCCAGGTCTTCCCAGACCCTGGAAAGCAAGAAGGGAAAAGGGTGAGTATTATCCAAGGTGTTTCCAGCACGATCCCCTCCCCGTTCCAGCCCTCCCAGGAGGTATTTTATTTACCTATGAGCAATTTAAAAGCTTGTTGTGAATATCTTCAAAGACTTGGTTGTAGAGTTCTTCCCTCGACTTCAGGCCGTCTAAATAAACTGGGGAAAAAAAACAAAACCTGGAGTCAGGCTGGAGGTTTCCATCAGGAAAAGATTTTGGGAGATTAGTTTTAAAATATTTCGGATTTTATTGACCCAAATGACAAGTTTGTTTTTTATTGGAAAAAAAACCAGAACCATCCCAAGACCAGAACAAAATCCTTATTCCAGTATAAAGAATCCCTTCTTTTTTATTTTTCCTTTGTTTTTATCCCCTATAAGTCCTTAGAGTATGAAGCAAAGGGAATGAGTTCCCAGCTATAAAACTGCCTGTATTTATCCAGACAAACCAGGCCAGGATTGGGAGTAAAAAATAGCCCCTTGCATCATTCCAGCTGAGGTTTTCTTAGATTAAATCACCCAATTCCTTAAATTCCCTACTCCAGGGCCGAAGGATTTGTGTTTGGGTGGAACTTACCAACATCCACACCACAATCCTCCATCTCCTTCCTGTGTTTTAAGTACATGGGCCAGACGTGTCCATCAAAGAGGCCGGGGGGGTCGGGAACGGTGTAATTCCGTGTGCTGGGAATGACAACAGGGAAAAGGAATGTCCCGGTGAGCCAACAGCTGCTCCGTGGTGGTCATGGAAAAGCTGATTGTCACGGGCCAGTTCCTCAGGGATTGGAGCAAAGGAGGCTCAGGGGGGACCTTCTGGCTCTCCACAAAGCCCTGACAGGAAGGGGGAGCCCTCAGGATCTGCTCCCAGGGAACAAGGGACAGCCTCACGTTGAACCAGGAGGGGGGTTAAATTGGAGATTAGGGGGGGGAAAAAATCATGGCAAGGGTGGTGAAGCATTGACACAGGCTGCCCAGGGCAGTGGTGGAGGCACCATCCCTGGAAGTGTCCAAAAACACGTGGATGTGGCCCTTGGGGACAAGGGTGAGTGATGAACACGGTGATGGTTGGACTTGATCTCAGAGGTCACTTCCGGCCTCAAGGATTCTGGGACTCTGAGTTTAGCACCCGAAAGTCTCCTTCTCCACTTTTATTCCAACTTTCCCACTCTAAACACCAATACATCCCATCCATTGTGGGCTCCCCATCCCTGGAAGTGTCCAAGGCCAGGTTGGACAGGGCTTAGTTGGGATAGTGGAAGGTGTCTCTGCCCAGGGCAGGGAGGTGGAATCAGGCAATCTTCCAACCAAACCATCCCATGATTCCATGATTAATAGCAAGTTCAGGGATCTGTCCTTTAACAGAGAGAAGGATTAGGTTGACACCAAAGAACCTTCTCACCTTCTCCTCCTCTTGCACTCGTCGTACGGCACTGCCAGGTAGTACCGGAT